CAGACAGTGATTTTGATTCTTTCTTTTATACCTCTATAACTAGCTAAGTGATAAGAATACACCTAAATTCTTAAAGTATAGGCCTTTGCAGACAGGCCTGAATATCTATATCCTAACACAACCTAAACTTCCCCCACTGCAACTTGAGACCATTACTCCTTGTTCTGTCTTCTGGCCACCAGAGCTGGAGTCAGCACCGTGGGTCACCCTAAGCAGTCTGTATCCTAGATCAGCTGTTCCGGACTCTGTGCTCTTATCCGAGCTCCTAGGATGAGCAGGGTCTGGCTCACCTGGTACGGGAGTGGGAGACTCCCAAGGAAAACGTGGGGCGGGTGATTCAGTAGCTGGTGCTACTCTCTGTAAGTCAGCTCTGTATGGTGTTGGGATGGGGGTGAGCTGTGCTCCTGGGGGAGCCCATAATGCCCAGTTCCTGACCACTTGTAGTCACTATATATCCTTTGCCACTTCTTGCAAGACTAGGGGTCTTAGCCCATGTGCCCATCCCAAATCTTAACTACTCTTAAATGGCCGTCCAGTTGAAACCGCAGGGCTGGTGTTTGTTCATTTCCTGTCCTACACAGTTTGGTGAGCTCTGAAACAGCTGCTGCGTTCCACCCCAGAGGTGGCTGCACTTCTCCGTTGCGGGAAATGACTCCCCTATGTGTTCAGCAGGGATCAGTCAAATCTGAATGTGGAGCAGCTGATCCAGAGGCCACCATGGATCTGAGTAGATAATGATGACAAACAAAACGTAGCATCTGTCATCCTAACAGCCCCAAGCTCTCCTGCTGGTAAACTAGCACAGAAACAGCCTCCCCTGCCCCAGCCACAGCAGGGTGGGTCCCGCTTCCCTCCTGGAGGGTGCCCCTCTACCTGCTGTCATGTCCTCTGCAGGCTGGAGGTGGTTTTTCTGCATGGCCAGGCTTTCACTTCCAAGACCTGGGAAGACCTGGGGACGCTGACCCTGCTCTCAGAGGAAGGATATCGCTCCATTGCTATCGACCTGCCCGGTAGGAATATGCAACCCATGTATCCAAGTTAATTTCTGCCTGCAGCTATAGCCCCCGTCTCCCTCTGCCCGCCAGCCAGCTGGCACGTGCCAAAGTGACTGTAAAGCTCCTTGCCTCTTTAAGTGGTCAGTTCCAGGGAGTCGCAGGTCTAGTGATGTTCACTACATAGACCATGCTTGTGCCCCCGGATCTGTTCCTCCAGGGTGCTGCCCGTATGCACTGGGCAGAAGGCTTCGGCAGGGATTTTGGTTTTGCGACACTGTTCCACATTGCCCTGGAGATGTGGCAAGACTAGCATATGTGAGTCCTGCTGGCATCCAAACCCAGCACGTCTGCTAATTAGCGTGCATGTCCCACAAGAAATCTCTATTGCATTGGCTCTTCGCTGGGGTGGGGGGTGGGGAAAAGGTTTAGGATGGTGAAACCTTCCTACTGCTAGGGGCTCTGGCTCCCCATGCAGACGCCTTCGCCTGGGCCTTTGGGGCACGCTAACCCCTCCTCCTCCTCCGCAGGCTACGGCAACTCCCCGCCTTCCGATGCCGTCTCCACGGAGCAGGGCCGCGTCGCCTTCCTGCAGCATGTGCTGAAGGAGCTGGGGATCCAGAGGCCCGTTCTGATCAGCCCGTCCATGAGTGGCCGCTATTCCGTCCCCTTCGTCCTGGTGCACGGGGCACAGCTGAAGGGCTTTGTGCCCATTGCACCTGTGGGGACCCAGGACTACACGGCCCAGCAGTACCAGCAGGTCCAGGTACGTCAGGGAAGGGGAAGTGTCTGGCTCTGGGGCGTCTGAAGCTGGTCCCTAGAGCAGAGGCTTCTCAGCTGGTCGGTGGGAAGGAAAGGGGGTGGGGAGGGTAATCAGGGCCTGACTCACAGAGGAACTTGTCCAGCTTTGTGACTGCAGCCCTGAGCTTCTCCAGTCACTGCAGCAACAGCTTGTTGGCCCAGCTGGCTGCAGTACAGCTCCCCTGCTCAGCTACAGGCTTCTCTGGGGCTAGGAGGCTGTGTGTGTATGTGGGGGGAGGGGGACGTTGAGGAGGCTGTGGGCCCCGCTCCCTGGGGCGCTGTGTGTGGGAGAGGCAGCCCCATGCTCTCTGGGGCTGGGGAGCATGGTCCCAGGCTCCCTGAGGCTCTGGGTTGGGGGTTTGGGCCCCAGGCTCCCAGGGGGCCCTGGGCTGCACTCTGCCTGGACACGTCTGCCCTGTCTCAGGGCTACACTGCTCTCCAGGTCACTTGAGTCCCTCGTGCCATACTCTTGGGGCAGCGCAGGCGGGTGGGGGTCTGTAGCCCGTCTCCCGCTGCTGGGGGGTGGTGAAGGTCTGACGGCTGAAGTTCTTCCCATCTCTCTGCAGACGCCGACTCTGATCGTCTATGGTGAGCGCGACACCAGCCTGGGTGCTCAGTCCCTGCAGAGCCTGCGGCAGCTCCCAAAGCACAAGGCGGTGGCACTGCCTGATGCTGGCCACGCCTGCTACCTGGAGAAGCCTCGCGAGTTCCACGAGGCGCTGCTAGCCTTCCTGGGCGAGCTGCAGTGAACATGGACCCTCCTGGGGCCGGAGCCTGGCTGCGCTGAGCCTTGGCTGCGTGGCTGGGATGCTGACTCTCTGACCCCGTCATTAAGGGCTGTGGGACTTGTCCGGGGGTGGGGAGTTCTCACCGCTGCCACCCTCCTGGCTGTCTGATCCCGCGGCGAGTTGGGCTGGAGGGGGTGTGGGAGCCAGGGGCTTGGCAAGGGACTTGTTAGATGTCGTCAGCCTCTGCAGGGGGATTTGCCAGATGCCGGGATTCTGCCTGCTTAGGGGCATGATTCTGCCGTGCGTGTTGGGAGGTAACCAGCCCCCTGCCAGCTTCTGGCTGTGCTCTCCTGTTGCACAGTCCTCGTGTTTGTTGCTTTCTCGTCCCCCTGCCTTGCCTCTCTGCAAGGAGCCCTCGCTAGGGCCCCAGACCGTTGCTGCTGAATGATGGGCTGGTGTGTTCGCCTGAGGGATGGGGCACAGGCCAGGTGACCATGTGGGGCTTGTTCCAAAGAGCGTTGCTGTAGAGTAGCTGAGCATCTCGCTTGGCAGGGGCTGGGGTGCGGCGGGGCTTCGTCCCCACCAATGGGTCCGATGGGTTAGCGGTTGTGTCCGGTGGTTGTTTGTAGGGAGTGTTAAATGGGCCCTTTGCCCGCGAAGCAAGGGCTGTTGGCGTGTTACCGGAGGGTGATTGATTTAACTCCTGGGTGGGTAAGCTGCTCTGACCAGGCCCAGCGGAGGGGTCTCTATGGAGGAGTCTGTTACGAGGCCAATAAACCATTTGTACGGTGCTCACTGGGCGTCTGTCTCTGGTGAGGCCATGCCGGGCTGTCTGTGTTGGCCCACCTCCCATGGGCAGTGAGTAACTCCTGCACCCGGAGCTGGGGCTTCGAGGGAGGATGCTGGCTCCTAACTACCGTGTGCCCTCGGTGCCACACCAGAGCTTTGTGTCCGTAGCTGCTTCCCTGCATGCAGAGTGGCCTCGGGCGCTCTCAGCTCCGCCTGTCCCCTGCCTCTCCTCTAGGACAGGTTCCAGAGCAGCCAAGGGGGCGCTGGCTGCTTGAGCCCATCCTGCAGTAGATGAGCAGAGAGCTGTCCTGCGTGCAGCTTCACGGGCGACGGAGCTGTTGCTGCTGGGTGGGGCGGTGGGAGCTTGGCTCTCTGGGACAGGGACTGTCTTATCCGTGCAGTGCCTAGTCCAATAGGCCCTGATCCTTCAGGGGGGTCCCTACTAGCAGTGGGGGACCAATGGCAGCGGTGCACTTGCTGTCTGCACTCGCAAACTCCATGGCCCAAAGTATGTCTCTGCTGGCTCTAACCATGGAATGGCTCCCTAGTCCATGACTGCAGGTCCCCCTTTTCTCTGTTCTCGGGGGCTCGTGGCCTCAGTTGAGTGTTACTGCTCCAGAACTTGTTGCAGAACTTCCCTGAACAAACGCAGCCCGTCCAGCGCTGGAACTGCTACCACAGCAAGTCCTGGGCCAGCCCCCAAGCTGGTGTCCATCACTGCAGCTCAGGCTTTGGTGGTGAGGGGCTAATTGCCACCTGGTGTTTCTGAACTAGAATGATTCCGGTCTCGTTGCCAAGCCTCCCCTGGTGCCCTGTCCTGCCCACTGCATTCTGTCTGGTTCTGCTAACGTGCAACTCTGCCACTCCAGGAATTAGCCTCTCTGCAGATACACCAAAGAGCCGGCTAAGAAATCATTTCCCATCCGCTGGAGCTGACCTTACTGCTCCCCCTCCCTGTTGAATGGAAAGGACAAGTTGTTACCTGGTGAACCCAGCCTCCAGTGGGGAGCTGAGCAGACCGATTCATCCCATGTGTGCTATGTTCTGCCCCAGACCTGGCTGCATTTCAAGAGGTGAATCTGGCTAAGTCTTATACCATGTCTTCTGAGATGAATCCTGCCTGGGACCCTTCAGGGTGGTTCTAACTAGCTGTGAGAGGAAGCGCTGTGGGGTGGCTCTAATGAGCCGTGAGAAGAAGTGCTGTGGGGTAAGTTCCTGCCCCACGGTCTCCAGCAAAGTGGGAGCAGTAGTTCTGAAGGGAAGCCCTTGCTCGTCTACTAGGAGCCCTGCTCCTCTCCCAAGTGTACAGGCACACAGCCACTTTTCTTAGGTTGATACTAAGGGGGACTCCCTTGGCCGCTGTCCCTGGATCAGCCAGGCGGGGTTGCTGTGCAGCTATGATAGTGGTGGCCTTCATGCCAGATATCCCCCAAAATGCACTGTATAGATACTCCCCCACATTGCACGCACGGCTTAGCGTCTGGCAACTGCTCAGCAAGGTTGTGCAGCAGCGGGGCGACCCGGCAGTCAGAGCGCAGTTAAATTCAGCAGGACATGGGCCATGATGGTGGATTTCCAGGCAGTGAGGTGTAAATCAGTCTGGGGTGGATCTTGGCAGTGGCACATTGCAGCTATGGGTGTTCTGCATTCCCCAAGTGTTCCTGTTGGGCTGGCAGCTACAGTGAGACCGCACTGATATCCATGCTGCCTTCGGGGCAGGGGCTGGGGTCACTGAGGGGGTGAGGAGTTGTCTAAACAGTTACAATGCATAGTGAGCCACCTGTAATGCTTCCCACCCCCAAAGCTCTGTACACCCAGTACCCACTGACCTCCCTATGCTGCCGGGGGCAGGGAAGAGCATTAACCCTGATTGATGGGGAAACTGAGGCAGGCTGTGACATGACTTGCTCAAGACTGGAGAGGGGAGCGGGTGTTGGATCAAGGATCAGAACTCAGGATCTGGCTGCCAGTTCTGTGCTTGGACTGCTCACATGGGCCTCTCCACTGAAGCTAAGGTGCCCCCTGGATGGGGCTTTTGGTTTGGCCTAGCCTCCCTGGGCTGCTGCCAAGGGGAACACAGAAAAGAGGAGCTAAAGACAAGGGGATGGGGACACTCTCTGCCTGGGCTAACTGGCCTGGGTTGGGGCTGATCAGGGAAGGGGGGGTCAGAAAAGGGATTGTTGAATGAACAGCTGGAGAGCTGAAGTGAGCTCATGAGATGCACCGGAGAGGGCATGGCTGGGTGGGAAGGAAAGGAATTTTATAAACTGGGTGGATTCTCATAAAGGGGATGAGTGAGCTAGCTAGCTCAGGAGAGAAGGGAAAACCTCTGCAGGCCCTCTGGGCAGAGAGGGAGCAAGGCGGGCCCCGTAGGAGCCCTATTCGCGGTTAGGGAGAGACCATGGGTACGGAGGCCTGGTGTCCTCTTCTCAGGGCCGGCTCTAACTTTTTTGCCGCCCCAGGCAAAAAAGAAGAGCGTCGCCCCGCCGTAACACCCCCCCCCCCCCCCCCCCCCCCCCCCCCCCCCCCCCCCCCCCCCGACCGCCGGGCCGCCCAAGCTCCCCGAGCGCCGTGCCGGGCCGCCCAAACCCCCACCCGAGCGCCTCGCCGCACCGGCCAACCCCCCACCCAGCGCCGCGCCGCCCAAACTCCCGGAGCGCCGCGCCGCGTTGGCCAACCCCCCGCCCCCCACCCAGCACCACGCCAGCCAAACCCCCGGAGTGCCGCGCCGGCCAAACCCCCGCCCCCCTCAGCGCCGCGCTACCGAAACAAAAACAACCCTCAAGCACCGCCCCACGAACAAAAACAAAAACACCGCGAGCGCCCCCCGCCACCCCAACATTGGCTGCCCCTTATAAGGTGCTGCCCCAAGCACGTGCTTGGTCGGCTGGTGCCTGGAGCCGGCCCTGCCTCTTCTGAGAGGAGTTTGAAGGCCTATGGGCTGGAATCCTGGCCAAAGGACAGAGGACAGCCGGAAGCAGGAGTGAGCTCCTAAACCCACAGGTGGGGGGTGAGCTGTTTCGTGTTTGACTGACTGACCCAGGTGAAGAGGCGGGGGCTGCAGTAAACCCCCAGCTGAAGGCTGCAGACTGTCGTTTCATTATCTGTGTTTAATGCTGCCAATGGGCATTATGGAGGACACTGATGCCCCAGAAGGGGCATGAATCCAGAGGGATCGGGCTGGAGGGACAGGTGCCCCACAAAGCAAGACAAAGGACAATACCACAAGGGGATGCTGCAGTGAGGTGAGCCCCGGCTGTGTCACAAGTGGGTGCTCTGGGAGGGAGAGGCCCATTACATCCTCACAAACTGACCCCCAGCGGTAGCCTGCCCTCTCACCCTGCCATGGGCAACAAAGACCGCATCACCCCTTCTCTCACGAGGTCCCTTAGTCCTTCCTCAGCTCTCTGGCTTAGTTTAAGCATGAGGCCTGGAGTCAGGACAGCTGGGTTCTTTTCCTGCCTCTCTCACTGATGTGCTACGTTACCTCGGCCAAGTCACGCCAGCTCCCATGTTTCGACTCTTGTGCCTCAAATGAGGCACTTAAATGTAGATAAAGGCAAGGATGTAGGAATGGCCTGATTTTTCCGAGGGGCTGCTCCCACTCCAATGCAGTCACTAGTGCTGAGGGCTAGCGGCCCTGCTGGAAAGCAGACCATTGCCATTTATGTAACTGTATTTGGAAAGTGTTGGTGCCTCTGCATCTCCGTGCCTCAGTTTCCCTGTCTGTACAATTTGGCTGATGATATTGACATACCCCAGAGAGCGGCTGGGAGGTTTGTCCCTTTGAATTCCTCAGCTGGAAGGGGCCAAGGGAGGGTCAGAGGAAAGTAATCAGAAGAGAGGGACCAGAGCTGGAATGGCAGGACCCAGCTCTTACCTACTCCTGTGTGGGGGGGGGGGAGTTTCTGGTCCCATCTCCGCTCAAAATAATCTTCAAAGGGCTAGTTGAGCAATAAGTCCATAGGTAACTAGGGCAGCCATGTGGGCCCTGGGCTGTGCAAAGTTCAGGGTTCGCTCGCCCCTTTCCCATGCAGCTGGTTAAACTTTGTTGATCATCACGCGCTGGTGGGAGTGACCCGGCTGGGTCATTCACCAGGGGGCCTTGTGCCTTACAGGGCCTGGGCTGAGTGCTGGGCAGTGGCTGCATTTTGTGGGATGCAGGGTGGGTCGAGCATATGACCAGTCTTCCCTCTGGAAGGGAATGTGGCTCTTGCTGGTACTAAGGCCAGGTAATGCCCGGCCACAGGAAGAAGGAAACTAGAACCTATCGGGGTCCCTTGTTTTCCCCCAGCCCATGGGAAGTTATAGATTCTAGGACTGGAAGGGACCTCGAGAGGTCATCGAGTCCAGTCCCCTGCTCGCATGGCAGGACCAAATACTGTCTAGACCATCCCTGATAGACATTTATCTAACCTACTCTTAAATATCTCCAGAGATGGAGATTCCACAACCTCCCTAGACAATTTATTCCAGTGTTTAACTACCCTGACAGTTAGGAACTTTTTCCTAATGTCCAACCTAGACCTCCCTTGCTGCAGTTTAAGCCCATTGCTTCTTGTTCTATCCTTAGAGGCTAAGGTGAACAAGTTTTCTCCGACCTCCTTATGACACCCTTTTAGATACCTGAAAACTGCTATCATGTCCCCTCTCAGTCTTCTCTTTTCCAAACTAAACAAACCCAATTCCTTCAGCCTTCCTTCATAGGTCATGTTCTCAAGACCTTTAATCATTCTTGTTGCTCTTCTCTGGACCCTTTCCAATTTCTCCACATCTTTCTTGAAATGCGGTGCCCAGAACTGAACACAATACTCCAGCTGAGGCCTAACCAGAGCAGAGTAGAGCGGAAGAATGACTTCTCGTGTCTTGCTCACAACACACCTGTTAATACATCCCAGAATCATGTTTGCTTTTTTTGCAACAGCATCACACTGACGACTCATATTTAGCTTGTGGTCCACTATAGTGAGTGAGATTGTCTCTCCTCACTCTGTCCCGGAGCAGTCCCAGGACTCTCACTCAGCACCATCTACTAAGGACCTGCCTCCTGTGTGTTCCCTGTGTCCCACCACTAATAACTGGACCATTCAACATGACCGACCTAGTGCCTGCCCCTTATAACAATAGAGAGACTTGAGGGAAACCTTCCCCAACTTGGCTCAGACACCGGAGCCCTGGGGCACCGGGTGTACTATGTGCTGTAGCACAGCACTGACTGCAGCCAGGAAGCCCTTCTCAAGTTATTTTACCAATCCTCCAAGCCAGATGGGTTTTACCCCAGGGCACAACAGGAAAGATGGTCTCCTGAGCTCAGCAAATGCTCGGTGGCTATCTGTGTTAGCAGCCTCTTCTGGGATGATTACTGATGCTTTGTACAGCAGCACTTATGGATTGGGGTAGGTACCATCCAATCCTGTAATAACAAACCAGTCCCTGTTCTGACGAACTCCCACATTTGGTTAATGACAAGACACAATCAGTGGATAAAAGGATTGAGGGGGAAGAAGGATGAGATGAGCCTGTTCTTGGAGTAAAATTGCCATTAGTCTATACATCAGGCATACAGGAGTGCTACAAAATGGATAAACCATAGGGCATCATTAAATCCCGCTGCCTTGCAAACCAAAAAGAATGGGGAATCAGACCGGAAGTTGATCTCAGCCACAACATATCCATCAGTGACCTACCACCTCTGTAGGAGCACTCCCTTCTATGAACATGCATGGATAAAATGCTGGCTGGTGATGAGCTGGTTAAACCATCTTCTGTGTCAGGACTTAGCCCCGCTAAAAATTGACTGCACTATGTGGGCCCTACCTGGAAAAGTCAGATTTCAGAGGAAGCTGCCACATAACCAAAGCAAACTAACGGTTTATGTTGGAGACCCTAAAAGTGAACATGCTCTAAATTATACGTACCTGGGGTCTCATAATACATGCATCAGGGAGCATTAGGCTGGCTGGAAAAGCATTATGAGATCAGCTGTGCCTTAAAAAAACCACTGTATATCTACAGCTCTCTGCTCAAACTAGCTGTCGGTCTTATTCAACCCATTCTACTATACAGGAGCAAAGTCTGGGGGCTAGGGTGACCAGACAGCAAGTGTGAAAAATCAGGACGGGGGGTGGGGAGTAATAGGAGCCTATATAAGAAAAAGACCCAAAAATCAGGACTGTCCCTATAAAATTGGGACATCTGGTCACCCTATTGGGGCCCAGCGTTACTAGCTAGTTACAAGAATTGTGATAAAACCCCAAGAGAGACTTGACTTGTGCAATTCAACCAACAGCTATTCCAGGCACAGAAACTGTAGCAATAATGTCTGCAGAATAGAAATGGGTCAATTGCCTCTCCCTAAATTGTGGTGTTTCAACCAAACCAGCCCTCTTCAGCTCAAAGCCCTAAAGGATGAAGACCTAAGTTCAGATGATGACAATACACTCCCATGTGTCATCCCTTCCGGGTCTCAGCAATGCTACTGTCCCAATCTGTGCAGCAAACAACCTAACCCCAACCCAAAGGCCTGGCCATTTTCAGATCAAGACTGGAGGTTTTTCCAAAAAATAGGGTCCAGTTCAATCCAGAATTATTTTGGGGAAGTTCTATGGCCCGTTTCAGACAGGTGGTCAGATCAGATGACTGGCCTTGGAATCTATGAAAAACCTTATCACATGACTCCAGGAGCTGGGGCCTTAAGAAAGACACCAAATATCACAAGACTTGCACTAAAATCACAAGCGGCAACGCAGTTCCCACCTACCCCAGCACAGCTGTCAAGTTTTGTGCAACTCCACATGCTACTCCTGCCACTGCTTTGGTGCAGATTGTCTTGACCATTAGCAGACATCTATGGTTAGATGCACATTCGCTCATTACGTAATTTGTATAAAATGTCACACCAAGTACTGTGGTCTTTGGCTCTAGCTATGTTAGGAAAGTGTTAACCATGGATTCCCCACCCTGCTGCCTGGTGCATTCTCAACTGGGGATGAAAACTATTCAGCTGCTAAGGTAGATGGAGCTAAACCGTTTCATCACCCATTCCTGAGGGTACAGCTCTACCACCGGTACCATGTTGTCAGCCATGGGTCATTTCCTAGTGTAGACAGGGATATAGGTGTGGAAAGTGGGGCCACATGGAACAGTTTTGCCTTGATTTGCAAATGTGCAATTTGCTTTTCTAAGTCTGGTGCCCCAGTAATTCAGCTGTTCTTAGTGTGCCCAACCTCCTTTGCTGTGTGGAGTTCATGAGCAGGGGAAAGTAGCGAGATCTGTAAAAAATTGATGAATGAGATTTTAAATGTCTCATGGAATCAAGTCTCGGAGTGTTTCTAGGGTGAGAAGCTTATGCATTAAATAGATGATGCAGCTTCTTGTTGCAATGAGGATTGTGTTGAGTGTGAGGTTTGGTTTCGGTTCCTTAAAGGGACCTAGGCCCCAATCCTGCAAACTCTTAAGTGTGCGAATAACTTTACTCCTCCCAGTAGTCCCATGGGAGTGTTTGCAAGACCTGGCCCAATATTCCATCTGGATTAGGCCCGACATTGCATAATAATTATTTTTAAAAGGTCTGACAAAGCCTCACGTTAACGGACATGCATTCATGATTTTTTTTAAATCAAAATTTGATTTAGGTGAAAAAAATCATTGACACCTCTTGTGATTTGATTTAAAGTCCCAGGTCCTGGAGTCAGATAATCATCTGAGCATCTCAGCTTTCATTAAAAAAAAAAAAAAAGTTTGCAAATGTGACCTGAGCGCACCCTGAAAGCTCAAAACACCAGCAGACAAATAAAAAAACCACCCACATGTGTTGTTTTAAAAATAAATCTTATTTTTTTCAACCAATCACATGGGTGTTCTGCTGGACTCCTGATTTTTTAATGTTTTGGGTTGGCAATATTGTGTAATCCTTCCCCCAGAGATTGCAACAATGTAGGAGGGGCCAGGAGAATCTGAAAGTGAAACTAGAGTGAAACTAACAAATAGTTAAACTGATAGGGGAGCAACTAAAGGTTCTTACATGGTGAAAGAAAATGTGGATTTGAAAAATCCTTTCATTTGGCAGTAATCGAAGACGTTATTCACAGAGGTAGGACATTTTGTAAGAGTATTTTTAGGCTAGCTGTGCCACGCTAAAAATGAGACTGTAACTTTGTAAGATGTTAGCCCTCAGTCCTACAACTGGATGTACATAGAGGGAATCTTGCAGCTGCGTGGAGCCCTGTTGAAATCAATGGAGGCCCGCAAGAAGTGCAGGGGTCTCTGGGGAGAGATCTAGTTGCAGGACTGGGGCCTGGTTTGGCTTGCATAATCTGTTTAACGCTTCATGTGCTGATTGTTGTTCTCATGTGTGTATGCGCAGGGCCTAGTGCACCTCAGTCAGGTGGAAGAGCAATTCAAATGTCATTTATTTTCCCTTGTTTTTCATTATAGAAAAAAAGCATTTAATAAACTGGGCTTTTGTTTCTAGAAACTAAAGCCTGCCTTAAAGCTGAGCAAGGCTGAAGTGGGACTTGTCAGCTTGGATTTATTTTTGCCCAGATGTTTGAGCAGAAAAGTTTCTGGGGTGACTGCAAAAAAAAGCTCTGGGGGGGGGGGAAATGGTAAATGGGAGTGGAGGGGCAGAGGGGGGTGGGTTTGGGCTTGCAAAACCACTAGCAGTCTGGAACCAGGGCTTTTTTTATTGGACCCACAGAAGCTCCGTGGGGGTTCACGGAAAAGGCTCCCGTTTATGGGCCCATCTCTAGCTTTTAATGAAAGCAAACATGCTTTTTTGGTGCTGTCTATAGTGTAGAACAGAGCGCGTGGAGAAGAGAGGGAGTTGGATTGTAAATGGTGGGGCAAGGACCATCTTCTTGTTCTGTTTGTACAGCGCTGGCACAAGGGGCTCCTGGCCTGTGCGTGGGGATTGTAAGCGCTACCTGCGGCACTAGAAATGCTAATACCTCAGCAGCAATCCGATCAATGGATTAAACCCAGGGTGTGAGTCTTCTCTTAGACTGGTTCCAGTGGCTGTACCCTGGCTTTACACTGGGTGAGAGCAAAGCAAGAATGGCTCTGGCTTGCAGCACTGATGGAACTGGGTCCTTGAGCTGTGCAATCGCCTTGGACTTTGGAGTGTAAGGAAAAGGCTGCACCCTAAGTCCTGAGCAGCCTGGGGGGCAGGGTTTGGGGTGCAAGGGCCCGATCCTGCAGGTGCCCCACGGCTGGGCGCGCAGGGGTCCAGCCCCAAGTTTTGCTGGTGCCCTGGGGGGCTGCCCCCCTCCCTGCTGCCCCCGGCGAGAGGCGGCTGCCTGCGGGCTGTCCTAGCGCGGGGCAGGGGCTGCGGCGGGATTGGCCGGCCGGCCGGGCGGACTCAGGCTGCGCCCACCCCAGTGCCACTGAGCGCAGAGCCAGGGCGGAGCAGGCTGCGGCGGCTGGAGCTGGGGGGAAGCGCAGAGGTAGGGCCCGGGCGGCGGCCGGCCGGGGCGGGGAGCTCACGGGGCAGCCTCCCTTGCTCCCCGCATGTTTACTTGGGGCTGGGCAGCCGGAGCTGGAGCCGGGAGCGCCCAGGGGCCGCGTGGGGGGGCAGGCACTGCTCTGCCCCCCCTCCCCCCGCCGGGCACGGCCCCGCTCCGAGCGCCCCGGACTCCTCAAGCCGGGCTGCCCCCAAACTCCTGCCCGACCCCCTGAGACCTGCACTTACCCCTACTCCGAGCGTGCTCCTGCCTCCCACCCCTGCCTACCCCACGTACCCCGACCCCTAACGGGACCCCACCCAGCCCTAGAGACCTGCACTTCCCCCAATCCAGGCATGCGCCTTCCTCCCATCTCTCACCCCATACACTCTCCTACTCCCATGCACCCCCGAGAAGTGCAGTTACCCCTAACTCCCCACCCTCCCTGCACTTCTCCTTACCCCGACCTTCAGCCTTCCCCCCACATCCTCATCCTCCCCATGCCAGGCTACCCGCAATGCCTGCCCCATTGCACCCCACTGACCCCTAGCCCCCCACTCTAGACACTCTCCTACCCCCATGTACCCCACCCACGCCTCTTACTCCTAGCCAATCTATACTGCCCTCATTCCCACACTTACCCTTACCCCCACGGACCCCTAACATCCGTACCTCTTCACCCCCCCAATCCCTAACATCTGTACCTCTTCACCCCCCCATTTCCCCCAACCCCTGCCTCATACACATGCCTGCTTCCACCCCCTCCCTCATTCCCACTCACCCGGACACCCCACTTCTAGCCTCCACAGTACCGACATACCCCAGACCCCCTTGTTTAGCTCCCTTTCACCTCTGCTAACCCCAGCGGCCTACTTCTACCCTTATCCTCATCTGCAGAAGGGGATACTGAGGCACAGAGAGACTAAGTGGATTGCCATAGTGTCACAGTGGGACAGCTGTGAATAGAACCCAGGAGTCCTGACTCCCAGTCCTTGTAGTACAGGGGTGGGCAAACTATGGCCCGGGGGCTGCATCCAGCCCTCCAGATGTTTTAATCCGGCCCTCGAGCTCCCACCGGGGAGTGGGGTCTGGGGCTTGCCCTGCTCCGGCACTCCAGCTGGGGAGTGGGGTTGGGGGCCAGTCCCACAAGCAGCTCTAGCATCCTCTGGTCCCTAGCGCTAACTGCCTCCCGCCACAGATACCATGGCAGCTCCCCCTGGGCACGGTGGCACAATGCTGCCTTCCAAAGCTCCCAGGGTACTTGCTGTCGTGAGGAACGATCCCGGATGGGGATTCTGGCTGCTTCCCCGTGTTGGTGACACCGTGTCTAGCAAGTTAAGCCGCTGACGTCAGGCAGAGCTTTGGGAGGGACGTGCCTGTGTGTGGATGTGGTGCTGTGGCTTTGGAATGAATCCTGACTGGGGAAGCTTTGAAAGCCCAAGCCAACGCTCCACTTACACATACAGGTCTAGATTCAGCCCTGCTGCATACAGCTGCTTCATTGGAGATGGTGGAGTCATGCCGGGGGAAATTTGGCCAGTACATTTGATGACAAAGTCTATTCACAGCTGTTCAGGATGGCGATTTTATCCCTTTCCCCTGTGCATCCTCTCTCCTTCCTCACAGGGCCCCGATACCCCAGCAGATGGACATCATGTTGCCTGAGGGAGACTCTAAAAGGACAGAGGAGAAGGTCAGAGGCCAGGATCCCGGGGAGCATCCTTCAGTCGCACTCTTCCGAGAGTACCTGAGGCTCAAGACAGTCCAGCCCGAGCCCAACTATGGTAAGGAGGCTGGTTCCCTTTCTTTTACCAGGGCAAGCTGCTGAGGCAGCATGAGCACTGGGGGAGGGTTACGCCGCCAGCCAGCAAGGGAGATGGCCAGACAACTGGCTCGCTGCTGCGACGGCCAGTGACAACGTTCTTGCCTCACATGCTGGGCACAAAGTTCTCAGCACCCTTCTGGAGCGTCGTTGGGCTCTTGTTCCCTGCTGCTCTCCTGCAGAAGACAGGACAAGGGTGCTGCCCTGTATCATCTGACGAGGAATCCGCGATCATCTGGTAGAACCACTTAGTTCTTAAAACCATCCCCTCCCTGCAAAGACACCTGCTTGTGGGTGGAAGCGAGTTGGTGGGTGTGAATCCAGAGGAGTCCATGTCACCCAAACCACCCCTACCATTGGCTCTGCTTGGCCTCCTCGCAACTGGCCAAAGGTGGAGTTGGGCCATGGGGGCTGAAGTGTCCTGCCTCGCCAGCTCAGGGCTCAGGCCCGTGCTCAGTGCAATGTGAGGGAAGCTGGATAGCATTGCTGCTGCCTGTGCTGGGTCCGCCTGGTGCAGAGCCTGAGACTTCCATCGCTGATGGCACGTGAATGCTGAAAATATTGAGTGTTGGGGGAGGGGGTGAAAACCCACTTCATCAAAGAACCAAAATTACCAGCCAGATGTTCAACCTTAAAAAGAAGACAGCAGTCGAAATGGAGTGGGCGGGGCATTGGGGAAGGGGTGGGAGTGGGTGGGGCAATTCACATTGAAATTGTATGCTAATCTCTCCGACACTGGCGGAAAGTTCCCTGAACCTTGGCAAATGAGCGGCTCCCTGGAGGCAGAAAGAGTCCTAGTGAGACTTGTTAGTGATCGTGCAACCCAGTCAAGAGGCCTCACAGCTCATGCTGGCCTCTAGAATGGGAAACTCCCTGGTAATGTGAGATGGGGACTGAAATTCCAGGCTGTGGAACAGCCTTCCTTGAACAGCGCCTTCTACTGCCCCTGGGATTTGGGAACCTCCTTGCAGGAGCTGCTACACCACCTGTCTCACCCACAGCTGGGATGATGCTTAGACTGATTCTCTACTGCATCACACCTTGTCATTCATGCCTGGGCAAAGTGGATGGAAAATGTGGCCAGATCAGACCCCTCCACCCCCCACTCACTCACACTGGTCTGTCTGCCTAAGAGGCACGTGGCTGCTCTTTGGACTCAGCTACTGCACAAAGTCCACATTTCGGAGCTCTCTTCCACATGGGGCCACATCTCCCCCTTGTTCTGAACGTTAATCAGTCACAGAGCAGATGGATTTGAATCTTGGGTCCAGCAACAGCATCTGCCCAGTCCGTGAGCCAACAGAGTTAAGACAGATGATCTTTTTATAATGTGGTTTCCCCCTGTTGGAGTTGGCTAGCCAAACCCAGTTGAAGCTATTTTAGCTGGTGCTGTATTAATCCTCATATTGGATGGACTGGGAGCTTTAGTTTCATATCGAGTGAAATATAGTTCTCATTAAACCAGCATGTAACATGGCTGTGGGTTAGTAACTGAGTGTGTGTGTGTGTGTGATTGTGCATGCATGTGTCAGAGGAGATGCCTTCCAAGGGTCTGATCCAAAGCTCATTGAAGTATTATTTACCCCTTCTCATAACACAAGAATTAGGGGTCACAAATGAAATTAAGAGGCAGCAGGTTTGAAACAAACAAAAGGAAGTATCTCGTCACACAACTCACAGTTAAGCTGTGGAACTCTTTGCCAGAGGATGCTGGGAAGGCCAAGACTATAACAGGGTTCAAAAAAGAACTCCCCTTGCTGTACTGAGGGTCTAGTGAAGACACAGGCCTGACCTGCGCTAGAAAATCAGGTAGGCTTAACTACGCCACTCAGGGGTGTGAAAAATCCACACCCTGGAATGTTGTGTAGCCGACCAAACCCCCATTGTAGACAGTGCTAGGTCCACAGAAGAATACTTCTGTTGACTTCCCTATCGCCTCCTGGGGAGGTGGATTACCTTTGCTGATGGGAGAACCACTTCCGTTGGCGCAGGTGGTGTCAGCTAAAGGAGCAGAGGGGGCATATGGGGCGAAGGGGAGAAGCAGCAGGGATTAGGGGCCTGACAAAATCCTGAGAACCTGGGGGGATAAAGTCTATTAAATATGTTCAACATCTCTTTAAAGCCTTTGCTCTATTATTTGTAACTCCTCCTCCCAACTGCTTTCCTAGTGGCAGATTATGATTGTGCTGCAGCTGCAGCAGCACCTGAGGCCCCAGCCAGAGATCAGGAACTTCTTGTGCTAGGCGCTTTACAGAGTGGAAAGCTGAGCCTTGCCGTGTTATGTGGCAGATCTCTGAGCCGTGGCAGAGGCTGTATGAGTAGATTGTTGATGGTAGGCCTGCTAATACATCCATTCTTGGGGCTTAGTACTGCAATCGTGTTCCGTTACTGACAGCGCTGTGCTGGGAGTTGTGTGCTTGGCTGTATAGACCGGGCACTTGCCTATCGACCGCATAGACTGCGTGCCACATTATTCACCAGGATGGAGCCTGGGCATGACGACCTTTGTGCAGTCTGAGCTTCTGACGTTCTTGCAGCACTGCTGCTCCAAAGGGTTCCCCCTTGTGGCAAGGGGCCTCTGGAGATGAGACGGGAGGAGCTAGAGTGTGGAGACAGCCCCTTCCTAGTGCAGGATGGGATTCCCGGATGGGAGAGATGCAACAGGTGCAAGGAAACAGCAAGGGGATTCCAGCTGAATGTCTGTAACTTTCCTGCTTTCTCCCTCTCTCAGATGTGGCCGTGCGGTTCCTGGAGCGGATTGCAGCCGAGCTTGGCCTGGGGTGTCAGAAAGTGGAGGTAGGAAAAGTGAACCCACCCACTCCTCTGCCCCCACGGTGAAATTCATTCCCGATCTGTCCGAGCCTGAAACCACCAGGGGGTGTCTGGGGTGCCCCCCGCTAGGCATCCTCTGTACAGCACAGCTCCAGTCACGGTGCTTCCGCCAGTACTGTCAGGTGGCAGATGTTTCCGCACCAAGTCCCGCCTCAGAGACGGTCCCCTTTACCATGTGTCTGGGCTCGTTCGCCTCAACGAGCGCTTTTGTATCTGCTTTTGCTGCATGAGTTAGAAACGTAATGCTTCCCATTCACTGGGGAGCCGTCTTCCTTCCAGAGAGGTCTGGGTTGCTCACCTTACCCCTTTCCAATGCTAAAGTGGCACTGACAGTGCTATAGCCTGGGCTCCTCCGGGAGGATCCCAGCAAACCAGGGAATGACTGAGTAAATCATTGAGCGGTTCCCATCTAAAAAGAATTGGTGGGTCTCAGCCAAGTTCTCAGTGGACGTGTCCTCATCACCAAATTCAGCCTTGCAATGAGCACTCCTTGGTACCCCTGTGGGCACTGCCAGGGTGGACGTCCCTTGCCCTTGGCGGTCCTTCCAGATCTGGGCTGAAGGCCATTGGCAGCAGCATGGAGCTGGCCTGCACTGCTTGTGCCAGACTCATTCTTTGGGTAACCAGAGGACTCCTGTCTGCAGATGCCGGTCTTTCAGTTGCAATTAATCCCCATAAAGACGGCTAGAGCGACCTGAGCATGTCGCACTGGAATCCATCCTACCTGCACCCATGGAAGAGTCACCTGGTCATTAGTGTCCTCCGGCGTGGAGTGAATACATGGGTCACCACCAGTAGCGTAGCTAGGGAGAGAGCGGCCGCTCCCCCACTGAGCACAAGTGGCGCCTTGTCAATTTCTTGGCGCCTTTTTACTCACCCGGGGGAGCGATAAAAAAAAAAAAGGCGCCACCTGCTGCAGCGCTTTTATTTTACTCACCCGACGGCGCTCCGGGTCTTCGGCGGCGGGACCTTCACTCTCTCCAGGTCTTCGGCGGCATTTCGGCGGCGGGACCTTCAGTGCCACCGAAGACACCCGGAGCGAGTGAAGGGCCCGCCGCCGAAGACCCAGAGCACCCAGCGGGTGAGTAAAAGCACCGCAGCGGGTGGCGCCTTTTTTTTTTTTATTGCTCCCCCCCGTTCCCTCCACCTGGCTACGCCACTGGTCACCACCAGGAGCTAAACCTCAGCCTTGTTGGGTAGAGCGAAGCGTAGGTCCGTCCTAGATACACCAGGGCAGAGTCTGACCTCAATTACCCCAGTGCAAGTCTGGAGACGGTGGAGTCGCTCCATATTTCCACTGATGAGACCAGCAGTTGGCCCTTTATCTGCTCCGTGGTGCACTCCATGTGCTTCGTCCCAACCTGCACTGGCCAGTGTAGATATAAAACAGTATCGATATTAATAATTAGGCCCGTGAGTCCTCCCGCCAGCACACCCTCTGGCCCCTACTCCAGAGATTCACTGTGCTGCATTGGCAGGTACCCGTAGGACTGGGAAGAGGGGCCCTCCCATGCGTGGCACTCTAGCTGGCTCTAGGGGGAGCTCTGGGCAAGGAGAGGCTACCCTCTCAGATCCTTGATTCATGATCCTTGCATTGGGAGTCCAGGACAGGCCAGGGTGCTGTTTGTTTGCTCCCCCCCACCCCTCCGTTCATAGCAGGAGAGACCCTGCGAAATGTGACGATGCGAGCGGTTGTTTCCATTGGTGTACAAATCCCTTGCTGTCGGTAATCCCCTGCAGACTTGGCCAGCCCATTAATCTGCTATTACTGGTTCTCGGTCTATTTTTGAGTCGATCCATCCCGACTGTATGTGCTGTAATTAGACTGGGACTTAGCAAGGTCACATTCCTCCGAGGAGGCCTGGGGTGACACGACTTTCTCTGCAACTTGTCCCGGCTTGTGGGCACAGGAATCCCGACCGGCAGAAACTTGGGTTAGGAAAAATGTAGGGAAGTTCCCTGAAGACAGGATCTCGGTTGTGTGTGTGTTGGCTAGATCCCCAGAGCCATTCGGAGATGCAGTGCGTGCCTGGATTTCAATACTTTTAGTGATTGCTGAGCCCATATTCTTTCAAGGCCTCCTGCCACTGGCATTTGCTGTTGGATTTTTGTACTGAGATTCCATAGCCCTCATCAGTTTTGTCTAGTGTTCTCTGGGGTGGCCCAGATCAGTGTTTAAGGTCCCTTGCTTGGGGGATTGGATGGTTCTGGGGGTACAGAGCGTTCCTTGCTTGTTCACCAGCTCCTGTGGTAACACGCTGCCCTTCTCTAGCGCTTCTCATTCCAGGCACAGCAATCCAGGGTGTTGCTGTCCGGTGACTCTTCAGTGAAATAAAATGGGGGGTCTTGGTGCAGTTCCTAGTGGACCAAGAACCCAGGAGCTCCTTGCTTTTGGGTCACCCTTTTGGGGTTCAGCTTATCTGCAGCTTCTGGCATCCTTGCTCAGGGCGAGGGTTTGCCTCCCTGACCACCGCAGCTATGAGTCCCACACGCTGACCCTGCCCTGTGGGAAGAAGCGTTTCCTTTTCATTGGGTGCCTGTTTATCAGCCATTAATCGAGTGACTCCGCTGTGTTCTCTCGATCCAGGGCAGCTCAGAAAGGAGGAAGAAATCCCCTTCCGGGTCTTCAAGCTCCCAGCTGCATCATTTGGATATGGCTTGGGAGCCCTCCGTAGTTGAGGTGTCTTTATGGGAGGAGATTACGTCCTGCCTGGGATCTCTCGATCCAGTTGCTCGGAGGGCCCCATCGCCATCCGAGTGCCTCGCAGTTACCAATGGATTTATTCCTCGCAGCACCCCTCTGAGGCAGGGAGTTGTAATCCCAATAGCACAGGTGGGGAGCTGAGGCACTGGGGAGATGCAGCGACTTGACCAAGGTCACTCAGGGAGTCTGTGGCAGAGCTGGGAATAGAGCCCAGGTCTCCTGGTTCCCAGTCCAGTGCCCTGTCTGTGAGACCCTCCTTCCTGCCCTCCTAGAAGGGAGAGGAGTCTCTTGTCCTTTGAAATCTGCTCCCTCCCAGGCGAAACAACCCCTCCCTTTGCAACAACATGTTGTATGCGAACCCCGCTGCCCCTCCTCATCCTCCCCACCCAGGGGCTGCTCCGTCAGCTCCTTCTGTCTGCCCAGCTTCCCCGACCCACAGCAGGGTGGAGCATGCCCTTCCTCTGTAACAGACTCCCTTTTGCTTCGCAGGTGTGCCCGGGCCAGGTTGTCACCATCATGACCTGGCCGGGCACGGACCCGCAGCTCCGCTCCATCCTGCTGAACTCGCACACGGATGTCGTGCCGGTATTTGAGGTGAGAGGCTGGGGGCGGGGGGGGCCTCACAGCTGGGATTTGGCTGCTGCCCATGGGTGGGCAGGGGGCGGTTATTTGTCCAGAGGGGAAATGGGAGTGTCCCTCTGCAGAGTGTTTCTCTGCAGCTCAGGAGGATGCCCAGGGGCATTGCTGGGCCGGAGGGAGACCTGGGCCGTCTCTGCTGAGGACCTGCGGCGTGTCAATGCCATCTGCACCCTTTGTTAATGCAAACACAGCACCACCTACAGTAGAATGAGGGGAACTGTGAGCCTTTGTCAGGATTGCTGTTGCCCGCGGTGGGGTCTGCCCAGGGAAAACGCCTTCTGCTTCCATTTGGGACTGCCCCTTCCCTCACCCCCGCTGTGTGCTAATTTTCAAGCTGAGAGGCTGGTTTGATCCAAGGCCCTTCGCCTCTCTGCTGCGATGGAAAAAGACGCTCACTGGGATAGTGCTGCCTTTGGAGCCCGTCACCTTATTATTTTAAAATTGTCTCCATTGTGCACGGGACTCCCTCGTTTGCTTCTTGCACTGCGGCTATAAAGTTCTGATGCTTGCCCCTTGATCAAAACCCTGGCTTGTCTGGCTGTATTCTCCAGGAGGGATCTCTGGCACTCACCATCCACCACCACAAACTTCAGTTGCTACCTTTTGTTATTTTGGGGGTTACTTACTATGAAGTCCTGTTTTCCAATGGGCTGCATTAGGCTCTCACTGTACTCGATTAGACGTGCACCTGCTCTTTGTAATGGATGTGTTGGAGTCCAATTTGTCCTGAGAAGCCCCACTGCAGGAGGCCCCGCTATTTTGTTGAAATTGCACAGGGCGTTTCCTGTTAACATGGTTGCATGCATGGGGGTTGGTCTTGTCCATTATTGCTTTCATATCCCTTCAGATCTGGACAGAGGCGTGTTGGCAGCAGTGCGTCGGAGAAGCCTGCTCTGCAGCTGCCCATACTGTGCCTGTCTTGCCCTTCGGTCTCCAGCACTGTCAGGCTGGCATTAAATCACACTCCCATCCCTTTTGCCCCCTCCCACACCATCTACCTCCTAATGGCTGAGGTGCCACCTAGCACATCAGCCCTGTTTGATGCTTCATCCCCCAAACCAGGCCTCTCTCCATCTCCCAAACAGGATGCTGTCCCTTTCTTTTATGGGGATGGGGATCAGGTGTGGGGAGATCAGCTTCTTGTCCTGCCCCTCTCCTCCATGGAAAAGTCAGGATGCCATGCTGGGAGCCAGCCGGACTGTGCTCATGCCCTCCGGCAGCGCCCGCTCCCCATGGGGAACCCTTCTGTGACACTCAGTGCTGGTTTCTTCCCTGCAGGAGCACTGGACCCACGACCCTTTCGAAGCCTTTAAGGACTCTCAGGGTAACATCTACGCCCGCGGGGCCCAGGATATGAAGTGTGTCTCCATCCAGTGAGTGCAGCCGGCCTCCTCCATTCTCTGTCTTGTCTTAGTTCTCCATTGCCTCTCTGGGGCAATTGAATGGAGCTGAACGTCCCCCTCTGCACACAGCTCCATCCCTCTTGACTCATGCTCGCTATGAACCCTTGGGCCAGATCCTGATCTTGGTTACACTGGCATAAATCTGGAGGAACTCCCCTGAGCTCAGTGGGCAGGTGTTCTGGAATTGTCTCATGCTGGGCGCCTTGCCCCTGGCTGTGCAGCTGCTGGTCACAGCTGGAAACGGGTGACTGGGCTAGGTAGGCTGGGCCGGTCTGGCAATCCCTGCCAGTAGCTGCGTGATGCAGTAGACATTGGAGATCCTGAAAGCTCAGCAGATGCCTCTTATCGTCGTCTTTATATATTGTCCCAGCTTGTATCTGCCTGGACATATAACTATCACAGGGCTGGGGGGCTCTGCTCCCTGCATTGGCTGGCTGGAGTGACCAAAGCCCCGTGACACCTGCCCCCCATTCCTGGACACCCAATATGTTACCTGCTCCACACTAGGCCCCTTAATCTTTGGCTGATATCAGGTGCGGGAAAACCAGGGGGTGCTGGTGCTGGCTGCAATCTAGGGGTGCAGCTCCGTCCATGCATCTTACGCCTGGCCTGGAGCACTGCCTGAGCTCAAGGTTCTTGCAGGTACCTGGCGCATCCAGCATCCTGACCAGTCTCTCCCTGTTCAGGTACATCGAGGCCATCCGGAGGCTGAAGGCCGAGGGGAAGCGCTTCCCCCGAACAATTCACATGACATTCGTGCCCGGTAAGTGACTGGCCCCTCTTCATGGCCAGCTGGTTGCTAGAGTTTGGCTGGAAGGGGTGAGAAGGTGGGGCTAGAGATGGGAGCTGCCCTGCCTCTTCCTTAGCTTTGGGACTCCCCTGATCAGCGCGTTCCTGGGAGTGAAACACGCGGAGAAACCAAGCGCATCAAGCCTTGAGCATGTTCATGGGTGGGAGTAAAGCATGTTGAGCTCCTGGCCTGGAAAGCACTGTCCGGATCCAGGCCCTGACATGTCCTTCTCACTCACTGTTCAGCCCTGCTCCGCAGACTTTCTTGCATTTAAGGCAGGCTGGAGTGGGTGACTCTGTGCCAGGCTCTAGGCTCTCATGGGGAGCTTTGGCGAGGCAGCGTGAGAACGCTGGGGAAGGAGGTGAAGAAGAGCAGGGAGTGTTACTTGGGGTAGGTTGGAGAGATTGCAGACCCCAGTTCAGTCCCACTGATGCCTGCTGCGTTTGGTAAAGCACTGATGGTGGTCCTTCCTCCCACTGCTCCAGCATTACCCCCACCCCCGCTTTCTAAACTCTCGCCATGAGCTGAGTAGTTCCCATGAGATGGCAGACAGCTGGGGCCTGGAAATGCCAGCGTTGGGGAAAACAGCTACTTTCCCCCGCCTTGCATCGGTCGCAAGCTGGCTGCTGTGGGAGTTGGACTGGCCAGAAGCTGCCACGGATCCCAGTCTGCCATGGGGTGCTCTGGCTGTGCCACTAGCTGGGGTGAAAGGGAGGGCTTGGCTCAGCCGTGGGGCCCAGCAGAGCTTGGCGGCCACTAACTCTGTGCCCTTCCCCTGAGCGCAGACGAAGAGATCGGGGGCTTCAAGGGCATGGAGCTGTTTGTGAAGCGGCCCGAGTTCCAGGCTCTCAACATTGGCTTCGCCCTGGATGAAGGTGCGACTCCCTGGGTGTGATGGCGGAGGAGCCAGTGGGAGTGCTCTGTGCGAGGGGAGGGCGGGCAGGGAGGGACTAAACTGTGCCTTGGCGGCCGGCCCCTCTGCAGAGATGAGCTTGGCCCCCTGGCCATTAGGCGGTAGATGGGCTGAGATGCATGAAGGGTTGGTGGTGGGGATAAAGGCGGCGTCCTGCGTAGGCATGTTCCCTCAGCCCAGGGCCCAGCCTCGCACCCTGTCTTGGCAGGTACTTGTCTCATGGGTGAAGGATGTTGAGTGGCTGGGTCCTCTGCACTCATGGAGCCTGATTGGGGCAGGGCTGGGGATCTGGAGATTTCCCCCCAGGCCCTAAATGGCAGCCAGCGGCTCCCCTGTTGCATTGCCACGGCAGCAGCTGGCAGTGGCTGCCTGGCTCCCACTCCACCACAGCGACCTGTCTTCTCTTTCCCTCCCCCAGGCCTGGCCAACCCGACGGACACCTTCACTGTGTTCTACGGGGAGAAGTGCGCCTGGTGTGAGTAGGGTCCAGGACATGTCCCCTCATTTTGTTTCTGTCTATCTGTGCTTTTCTAACATACCCATCATTGTGGTGTCTGGGTGCCAGGCTCACCCACTCTCTCTCTCCCCTCTCTCCTAACACGTCTCCCCCTCTCGTTGGCACTTGCAGGGATTAAAGTCAAATGCGAGGGGAACCCAGGCCATGGATCCCAGTTCATTGAGAACACGGCTGCTGAGAAGTTGGTAAGAGAGGGCGCCCTCTTCTGGGGGGTGAGGGGCTTGCAGTGCCACCCACCCTGGCTTCACCCACCTGCCCTCTCGGCAGGAAGGGCAAGTGAGTGTGACAGAGAGTGAATTGCAGTCCTCTTGCACCAAGGGAGAGACCATCAGCTTCTCTCTAGCAAGGAATGGTGTAGAGTTCCCGGGTGCAGGGGAGATCCCTGCCATTCCAACCCCAGCCTCTGCCAGCAGGGGGCACTATGAGGAGTGGGGCAGGAGCACTGGCTTTGGGGGGAGCTCCTGGCTATGTCAGCCCCAGCCTCTCTTAGTCAGAGCGCCCCTTGTGGCTCCTGTGTGGGAGCTGGTTGGTTTGTTTCTGGGCAGCCCTGGGTGAAGGGCAGAGCTGCTTGCCCTGATGGTGCAGGCATCTGGGAGAGCCGGGATGTAGCTATAATACACTGGTCAGGACACTGACACCCCCTATTCCCACCACAGAACAGAGTGATCACCTCCCTCCTGCAGTTCAGAGAGAGTGAGAAGCAGAGGTAAGAGGCAGCGCTGCATGAAACCTGTGGCTCGTTTAGTCTGCAGGGAGAAGGTGGACGTCCTAGCTCCAGAGGATGGGTTAGGGATGCACACACAGGCCTGGGACTCAGGACTCCTCGGTTCTGTCCTCAGCTCTGCCATGGACTCCCTCTGTGTCCTGGGGTGAGTCATATCACTGCTCTGTGCCTCAGTTTTCCCATCTGGGAAATGGCTGTGATTATCCTGACTTGCCTTCTGGAGTGGGCGGGGCGTGAGGGTTCATACACTGATCTCAGTAGGGTGCTTTAAGATCCGGGCAGAGGACACGGAGCGTTGTTGTGAGGGCAGGATCCAGGGCCTGGCTCCACGTGGCAGAGAGCGTGTCCATCCCAGCGACCCACACGTGTCCTGGCACTGTGTGTCAGTGCACGTGGATGTCACATTGATGGCCCCAGCCCAGGCGAGGCATATCTCTGGACCTAGGTCTGCCCTCCCCTTGGTCTGGGTGCAGAGTCCTTTCCCAGGGGAGTAGTTGGGGCCGAAAGGCTCCAACAGACACAGATCACAGACGCTGAGTATGACCCCCCCTCCCTGCAGATTGAAGTGTGACGAGCACCTCACCCTGGGCGACGTCACCTCCCTCAACATGACCATGCTGAGCGGGGGCGTCTCCTTCAATGTGGTGCCCTCGGAGCTGTCCGCCGGCTTCGACATCCGCATCCCGCCCACTGTCAACTTGCAGGTACGGTGCCCGCTCTGGCAGGGGTCCCGTTCCCCCAGGGAGGGGGTGGGGTGCACATTCCCCCAGGTTTGGGGGAGATCTTGATCTGTCAGCCATCGCCACAGCAGTGCCCGCCAGAAGAGAGGCAGAACAAGGGCTGATGGCGTGGACCCGAGAGAGAACCCCCCCCGCTCATGCCCCCCTGTTGGTTTGCCCCCTCTCCTGCAGGCATTTGAGGAACAGCTCACAGTCTGGTGCCGGGCAGCTGGAGAGGGTGTCACCTACAAGTTCTACCAGGTACGGCATGGAACTGAGGAGCTGGGCTTGGAGCCGCCCCTTGAAATCTGCTTGGGTGTGTGTAACTTGGCTGGGCACCTCCATGCCCTCACCCTCCCTGTGCAGCCCGTCCCAGTTGGACCCCCACCTTCCTGCCCCACGCTGCCCCCGAGCCTCTCGGCCTCCCACCCCCCTTGCTCTGCCGCCACCCCAGCCTCCTCCCTCCACCCCCCCACCAAGAAGATTTAACACTCTCCCCTCTTTTCTTTGGTGTAGAAATATATGGATCAGACGGTGACCTGCATCGAGGAGTCCGACCCGTGGTGGAAGGCATTCAGTGGGGCCTGCAGAGACATGTGAGTATGACTCTCATGCAGAAAAGGACCTGAGGATTACAGTGGACGAGAAGCTGGATATGAATCAGCAGTGTGCCCTTGTTGCCAAGAAGGCCAATGGCATATTGGGCTGTATTAGTAGGAGCATTGCCAGCAGATCAAGGGAAGTGATTATTCCCCTCTATTCGGCACTGGTGAGGCCACACCTGGAGTATTGCGTCCAGGTTAGGGCCCCCCACTACAGAAAGGTTGTGGACAAATTGGAGAGAGTCCAGCAGAGGGCAACGAAAATGATCAGGGGGCTGGGGCACATGACTTACGAGGAGAGGCTGAGGGAACTGGGGTTATTTAGTCTGCAGAAGAGAAGAGTGAGGGATTTGATAGCAGCCTTCAACTACCTGAAGGGGGGTTACAAAGAGGATGGAGCTCGACTGTTCTCAGTGGTAGCGGATGACAGAACAAGGAGCAATGGTCTCAAGTTGCAGTAGGGGAGGTCTAGGTTGGATATTAGGAAACACTATTTCACTAGGAGGGTGGTGAAGCACTGGAATGGGTTACCTAGGGAGATGGTGGAATCTCCTTCCCTAGAGGTTTTTAAGGTCTGGCTTGGCAAAGCCCTGGCTGGGATGATTTAGTTGGGGATTGGTCCTGCTTTGAGCAGGGGGTTGGACTAGATGATCTCCTGAGGTCTCTTCCAACCCTAATCTTCTGTGGTTCTATGATAAATGGCTATCCCCCCAGCCACGCCGCTGGCACAGTGCCGGCAGGCTGGGCTCATCTAGGGGCTTGGAAGCTCTGCAAAAGCGGATGCCTCTCAGCCAGGCCTGGGGTGCAAGGGCAAGCTAAACATGGCCCTCCCCAGCTCTGCCGCATGGGATTGCCCTCTGTCCCTGCCTCCCCATCAGGCCCTGGCTCCCCGTGGCGGGGGAGAGAATAGCTGCACTGGGAGTGTGGCTCACCCGGGCTCTCTCTCTGTTGACAGGCACATTACGCTGAAGTGTGAGATCTTCCCGGCCAGCACAGACAGCCGCTTTATCCGAGCAGTGAGTGCTGGCGCCTCCCCCTGGTCTGCCTCCTTCCCTGCCCACTGCCCGTCCTGCAGGTTCTGGCTGGGTCTCCCTGGTTCTCCCATCCTCTCCTCCGGCCTCTTCCCCACCCCCTTTTTCTTTCTCTTGCTCTCTATCTTAATTTAATTGGTCTCTGACTCTGCTCCATTATCTAGTGGGGATGGCCTTGGCCTGAGAGTCAGGACTCCTGGGTTCTATTCCTGCCCCTGCCACCGATTCCCTAGAGCAGGTTACGCCCCCGTGCCTCAGTTTCCCCACCTGTAAAATGGGAACTGACCTGCTGTCAGGAAGTGCTTTGAGAGTCTCTGGCTAGCACTGCTCTGTAAATGTTCTGTATTATTATCCTTCCCATTGGTTAACTGTATTACAGTAGTGCCTTGTGCCCAGCCCGCTACAAACATTGTTTCTTCTTCAGGAAACAGCATCCTTGGGGGCTTCAGCTAGGACGGTCTCAGATATATGGGGGTGGGGGTATTGAGGCAGTGGGGCTGGGAAGGAGCCCAGGGATGGTTGAGGGGAAGCTGCTTTCCCAGCGGTGAGATTGTGGGGTCTGGTTGGTGCCAACCTGGTAAAAGAGAAGATTGCTGCCCACCTCTGCCCTGCCGCATGGGAGCCCCCCTGCTGGAATGAGCCTGACCTCCCACTGCAGACTCTGGCACGGCCCCCCGCAGTTCAGGCCAGCATGGGACAAGGGCCAGGGCCAGTGAAGGATGGGAATGCAGTAATGCCGGGGCTGGCCAGGAGGGGGCACCACACAGGGTTGAATGTCAGCGGGGGGCGGGGAATACACAGCTTAATCTGCTGTTTGCAGGTGGCTCAGTCCAGCCCCACCCCCTCATTCGTTCCCCATTCCTTGGACCCCATATAGTTTGATACGGCTGCTAGGCTCTGTGTGGAGGCAGTGACTTCCCCTTTCACTGCTTTGCAGGCTGGTCACCCGGCCCTCGGCTTCTCCCCCATGAACCACACCCCGGTACTGCTGCACGACCACAACGAGTACCTCAACGAGCGAGTCTTCCTGCGGGGCATCGAGATCTACGCCTGCCTCCTCTCCTCCTTGGCCAGCGTCCCCCCTCTGCCGGCGGAGGGCTGAGGGGCACAGCAGGGGGTGGGGGATACTAAAGTGAGAGACGGGGAGTGAAAATTCATGGGGGCAGAGGGCAATGGACATACAGGGGCTCGGGTAAGAAGCAGCTGCCCGGGGATGGGCAGGACTCCAGGGTTCCTTGGTGGCAGCACCATGTGCAGAACTACCCAGTTGTGCCAGCCCAGAGGGGCAGGTGCCTGTTGTGTCCGGGGGAAGGGGCAGCTTGTGTCCCTGCCTGTGCTCCAGGTCCCCTGAGCCCATCCATGGAGCCTATGGAATTACACCCGGTGTCCAGCTTTCCAGCCCATGGCTCTGCAAGCTGCGGGGGGAGGCTGCACCCGGGGGCACGACATGCCGGGCTTTCTCCCATTGCTTGCACTGGGGGGTGGGGAATACATCTCGAGTGCCCCATGCCCCTGCCAGGCATTTACCTCCTCACCACATTGCAGCAGTAATGCAAGCCCTCCCCTCCCAACAGAGGTAGGCCTGGGTGCTGGGGTCTATGCGGGGTGGGGGGAGGGTTGCATCTGTCCATCCCAACCCCTCCCAAGGCCCCAGAGCCCCTCTCCCTGCTGCTCCTAGCCCCAGATCTCTGCAGAGCCACCCCCAGCCTCCAGGGATGGGCCAGGGCCATGGGGCACCCCCTGGGCAGCCTGCCCCTCCCTTGGGCCCCCTTGGCTCTCCCTGGCTGCCTAGTGGCTCTCCTTGCTCCCAGGGCTAAGCATCACCACTTGCCCCAGGCAGGGCGGGGATCTGGAAGCGGGCGTAGCTGTGGGTGGGTGCAGGCATTGAAAGCAGGGTGACCTAGCGGATAAGGCACTGGACTGGGGCTCAGGAGACCCGGGTTCCACTTCTGGCTCTAGCCCAGACTCCCTATGTGACCTTGGGTGAGTCAGCTGAACTCTGTGTGCCTCCGTTCCCCGGATGATCATCCCCCCAGGCTCCTGGTGTGCTGCTCTCGGAGCCTTGGCTGGGCGATGCTTTGTACCTGCTGCCTACTCTCATTAAACCACTGGTGGCAGGAAAGCAGCTGGGATGGCACCTCCTCCTGAGTGCCCCAGACTGTCACTGCCCAGCAAAGAGGGTTTGGGGCTAAAGCCAATTGCTGCGAAAGCTCAAGGCAGGAATCAGCTCTGAGCTGGCAGTGGTGGGTCTGGCTCAGCAGGGGTGGGTGTTTCCCAGCCATACCGGGGCTAGCGGCAGGGCCGTGGGGGGAGGGGGTGCCCAAGTCCCCTGTCTGTGTGACCATGCTATGAATTTTCATTCCCTGGGGCAGAAAAGCAGCTGGGATGGCACTTCCTCCCGAGTGCCCCAGACTGTCACTGCCCAGCAAAGAGGGTTTAATTGCTGTCCTAATGAATCACTGCATTGGTGAATGCAAATCAGAGCACAGTGCCTGGATGGGCTGCTGCGCGTGGCAGCCTGGAGTCCCAGGCCGGAGGACTGGCCCCATCTCGGGGGGTGGAGAAATGTCTTCTAGCACATCAGAAAGCCTCAATGGGGACTCACGTTCCAGATCCCCATTCCCCAGCTCCAGCTCTCTGGCCTTGGCCCCATCACCCAGGCGGGAGCTTGCTGCGGTCAGGGGCCGGTGGCTACCAGCAGGGAGTCGATGCTCAGGGACAATGTGCCGCCCTCACCCGCCTACCTGCAGCACCCCATTGCCCCTTTGTGAGCCAGTCATGGAGCGAGAGAAACCCTGATGTGCCAGGCCTTTTCCTGGTTGATGACTGGGCATAGGGAGGTTGGCATCCTGTTGGGGGATGGGACAGATTGCAAGGGGCAGGCTGCCAGCCTAAGTCCCAGTGGTTAGGGTGGGCTGATGCTGAGCAGCTCCTTTGCTGGGTCTGAGGAAAGTGGTGGGCCTGCAGAGGTCTTTCCTCATCTGTGTGTGGGGGGTCTGCCTACCCGAGCTCCCCCACCCCAGCGTTAACGCCAGTTGTTTGGGCTGGGGGATCAGGTCTGGTTCTTTGCTGACCTCGTGCCAAAGCTGCCAGCTGTCGGTGTGTCTCTCCATGGTGCTTGTGATTTTACTAATTAAAGCCGTTTGATTGGAAAGAACAGCCAAGGGTGTGGTAACTCCTGGGATGACCTCTCCCTTTCTGTCTGTCTGTCTGTCTGATCTTGAAATCCACCCCCCAATGCGCTCTCTCCCCATTACATCAGCCTCCCAGCTGGTTGCTCTGGGGTCAACTTCATGCCTTGTTGCTCCATAAGAATTGCTACAACTGGGGACGTCATTGGGTCAGTGTCTTCCCCCACTGCCCTGAACTGTCTTGTTCTGAGATCATGTCTTTTCCACTGCTCCGTGCTGGGTGCTTTGGAGGCTCCAGGTCTGCAGTGCTCTACCCAAGGCTACGGATTTCTTCCTGACCCCTTTGTGTCCTGGAGCTTAAGCATGAAATCCTCCTAGTGTAACTGGATGTGCCGTTCTGACAAGTACCAGATCCTTCGCTGACACTTCCTGAGATGCATGAGCCTGAAGTTAGGCACCTAAATCCCCGGGGCAGTGTAGCAAGCAGGTTATTTAGCTGCCTAAATACAGCTGGAGGGAGAGAACATGAAACACCCCAATTTGGGGATTTGGCTGTGTAGAAATGAGGGCCTGAGCACACCAAGTCATTAGCTGAGCAGCCCGTGGGCAGCAAGACTAGACCTCTCAGCTTTGGACCCCCAAGCTCAGCCTGCTGCTCCCTGAGCTAGAGGAGAAATGATGTGGCATTGCCAGCTTCAGAGCTTTTACACTTGCCATACAAAGTGTCTACACCTTGTCTGGGTGTCTGTGTCCTGTAGAGGGCAGCAGTGCAGCCCAGGGCAGTAACACAGCATTAGCCCCAAGCTGCTGGATCAGTCTGTATTCCAGGCTGACACCCCCCCTCCCCAACTTGGCAGGCTCCCCCTGGACTAAAGCTCCGGAATGGGTGCTGCAAGAGCAACCATTCGCAGAATGCTACTTCTCCTATATCTTCGTATGTAGGGGCTTTATTATTGTTCCTGGAGCTCTGGCCTACACGGCCCCATAGCCAGCTCAGCCCATGGGCTGACTGTGCCGGTGGGGTTGTGCCACCAGCTGGTGCTGAGCCACCGGCCCTTCGGCCTGGGGTGTGGAGTCCCTGAAATAGGGACAGCGTAGGGGACTGAGATTGGAAATGGAGCGCCAGACCCTTCCCTGCAGGAGAGTCTCTGAGCAGGTGGAGTGCCCCGTTGTGTCTAACAGCTCTGCACCCTGTGCCTTCTGGGAGCAGCAGAGCCAGGGCCCGTGGCCTGAAGGATGCACTAGGGCTGAAGAGCCAGAGCAGGGAGGGCTGTGGGGAGAGCTGGATTCACTCCTGCAGTGCCAGCCACCTGGCCTAAGTTGTGGCTGCAGACTCTGGGCAGCTGGCAATGCTGTGTAAGACGCAGGGAGAACAGGACGTTTTCTGCCCACCGGGTCTGAACTTCCCTGGGGAGCTGAGTACCTTGGGCATCTAGGGAGCCTCATGCTGTAAGCAGCCTCTTGCGGGGTCTGTCTGCCTTTTGGAAAATGCCACACTCAGCGTGCCAAACGAAGGCATCTCCTTCTGGCTGGCAGAGGAAACGTGACACTCGATCTGCCTGTAACCAAGGCTCCTTTTCCATTTCCTCCCTACAGCTTTGGAGGTGGGTCAATGCAGAGAGTAGGCGCCTGGTGGGCTGGGATGCCATGCCAGGCACAGGGGACAGCAAGGAAGAGGCACAAAGCTAGGACCAGGCAGGAAAGGACGGGGGGCGGTGATGCTGGCATAGTGCAGGGAAGCCGGCATAGTCAGAGGATCCGAGCTGTAGCCCCTGCCCCAACATCACGGTGGAAGTGTTGCCAGGCCGTGCCCCTGCCAGACCCCTTTCTGTACCCTGTATCAATGGGGCAGAGGGATGGAGGGTAGGGGGGAAAATGCTCAGGGCAAGCAAATAATGACGTTTGCCTGGCTCTCGCCAACTGGGACCCAGCCTTGGCTCGCCGTGGGCTGGAGCACCCAGCACTCATTTCATGGAGCCCTTGCCCTAAATAGTGCCAGGCCACGGAGAGCGGGTGAGCACCTGGGAATGAGATGAAGGGACAGGCGGTGGTAGGTGAATTATTAGCCTGGTAGGCAACAACCAATCCCACAGCAGCTGATGAGCCGTTAGTGAAAGTCCTCACTGGCTCCAGGGGAGTGGCACAGCCACAGACCAGCTGGGGAAGTTTGTCAACAGATTCCAGCCTCTACTGCCAGGCTGTGAACTGCAGCTGGCTGGTGAGACATGGGCAAGTCACCCTGGCACGCTGGGCTGGAAAGTCAGAGCAGCACGTGGCCATCAGGGGCATGGGTAGGAGAAAGCTAGCAGGTGAGATGGGAGGGGAGCAGAACACCACAGCAGCCGTGCTTAGAGGCTCCAGCCAAGCTCAGGCCCAATTGTGCTAGGTGCTGTACAGACTCATGGTGAGAGACAGGCATTGCCCTAAAGCACTTGCTCTCTAAAGAGATGAGGGTCGCAGAGCAAACAGAAGCCCAGAGAGGGGGAGATAAGTTCACACGGCAGGTCAGCGTCAGAGCCCAGGTCGCCTGAGTCCCAATCTACTGTCCTATCCACTAGGCCACACTGCCTCTCATGGAGCCCCCCTGCCACAGTGTGGTTGTGAGCCAGCACCTTACCTGTGGTACAAATCCCCATGGAGCTCAGCTAGCTTACCTCAGCCAGGTGCAGTGTGGGAAGTGGGAGCAAGCACATGGTGAGACTTGCTCCTGCTCCTGCTCCCAGCTCACCTTTTGAGCACATGGTGGCCATTAATATAGAGTTAGTCAGAGGGGCCTTAGTTTTCCCCAAAGGAAAGAGAAGGTTCATCCAAGGAGTCTCCGGCCTGGCTGATCTCTTCCAGAGGACAGGTGATTGTGTCAGCACCACGCTCATCTGCCAGTGGCCGCTGCTCTCCAAATCGAAAGCTGCCCCATGCAGCCTGAATGACAGTGCTCCAGCTGCTGTCTGCACCCAATTCCCTTCGCAATTGGTCACGCCAGTATTTGTCTAGTAGCATCCTGCTATTCCATGCAACTGTAGAGCATTCCCGGGCTCTAGCATGGGGCACACAACTCCTCCAATGCACTGGGTTGGAATCAAATGCCTCATGGCTCCCTTTGACGGCCCAAAAGCACCACTAGGTAGTACTCAGGCCTTATCCTCCTGGTGACCTTTGCGTTTGCGGTGATAGCCTAATGATTACATTTATGTGGGCCACCCTTTGGCCTGGTGTACACCTAAAAATTAGCTCAACTTGGCTACGTGGTTCAGGGCGGTGAAAAATTTCCTGCCCTGTGCATCACAGTTAGCTCAACCCAACACCCAGCAAAGCCGCTGCTAGGTCACCAGACAAATTCCTTCATTGCTCTAGCTACTACTGCTATTAATTGTGTGGACGGCAAAACCCCCTTCTGTCGATATAGGCAGCAACTATGTTACAGGGCTACAGCTATGTGGCTGTAGCATAACCATGGCCTTGGGAGGTGCCCTCCTGCCACCTCACACACTTACACACCAAGCTAAGTTCATATGAGGGGCAAGGCTGCTGCCTTGCCCGGTGCCCATCCCATCACTCCGTAGCTGCTCATGCCAGGATATGAAACTAAGGGGCTTGTGTACGATGCCTTCCCCAACCCACCCGCCCTCATCCAAGCACTCCCCAGCCCTCATCCAAAGCCCAGGATCATGGCTAAGCTGGAGCGTGTCCTAAAGCTCAGATTTCAGAGTAGCAGCCGTGTTAGTCTGTATCCGCAAAAAGAACAGGAGTACTTGCGTCACCTTAGAGACTAACAAATTTATTTGAGCATAAGCTTTGGTGGGCTACAGCCCACTTCTTCCAATGCAAAGCTCAGAGGGGGTTCAGGGTCAAGTCCCCTCCTGGGAATATTCCCTGCCACCAGCTGTCTCCCTCTGGAAGCTATTAGCTCAGGCGCTTTCTCCAAGGGGAGCTAGCCCAGGGCTGGCACCTGGAGAGAGGCATCTCTCAGCTACCCGGGCTCAAATC